CCGCCGCCGCCGCCGCCCGCCGCCCGCCGCCCGGCCTTGCTCGTGCTCTCGCGAGATGAGTTGTAATCTCGGTGGGGCTCCGGAGAGAGTCCTAGCTGGAGGCTTCAGAACCCGCCCCTGCAACGTCGAACCTCTGCCCCGGCGGCCCAGCAGCGCAGGTTCGCCTGCCTCGGCTCGGGGCGACCTCGAGGGGTCGGTTTAACCGTCTGCCTGCCTCGGTACCGAGAGGTCCCTGGAAAAGGCGGAGGGGCTGGTGAGGGGCAGGGCTCTCCTTGCCTCGCCTTGTGTAGGTGTACACAGTGTAATGCATCATTACATTGTACGCATAATTAATTAAGTGCCCATTAGTAATTGCTCAGTAATACTGCGTAATGGGAGTACCTGGGACCACTGAAATTTAGCATTCTTGCCCATTTTCACAACTTGGTGATGTCGAAGTGAAACAGACTTTCATCTAAATGGAGTGGGGTTTTGGAATAATTTCTGCCAAGAGGTAGTCGTCGTCATCACTGACTCCACGAGGAAACCTGGGAAAATAAGTTCCCTCTATGCAGGTGGACAACGGGGTGCTCCAGCTGGCCAGGCCTGCTTTCTTGTGACATAGGGACTTTAAGTAAACATTTGAGCGGAATATAAAAAAGAGATCATGCTAAGAACCATTACTTAGGAACATGTTTAATCTTCACTAGTGATCAAATGCAAATTTAAATGATCATGAGATACTATTTGCCTATTGAGTTGTAAGTATAACTTCATATATAAATATATAAATCTCAATTGCATGGTGTAGTGAGTGCCATGAAGGAAACAATTAGGAAAGAAATAACAAAAAGAGACCTGTTTTAGGTTCTGTGGTTCAAAAAAGCCTAAGGTGAAATTTAAACTGAAACCTACTTGATGAGAAGGAGCTAGCCTTGCAAATTGTATTTGAGAATAAGGGTAGGGGAGAATTCTAGCAGAGGCAACAACGCTGACTGTGTTGCGGGAAACAACTTCTGGATGGAATATCGTGAGGTGGAGAGTGCTGGAAAAGAAGGTTGGTGACTGGAAAGGGAGGAGTTTGTTGGAGTTTGCGGACGGGGACTGCACTATTTTATAAACCATAGTAAAGCTTGGATTTTATTCTACTCTGCTCAGCCCCCAAACCAGACATACCTCCACCTCAGGGCCTTTGCACTTGCTATTCCCTCCAATTGGGATATTCTGCAGAGCTCACTCCCTCACTTCTTTCAAGTCCTTTGCTCAAAGAGCACCTACTCAGTGAAACTTTCCCTGGAGTCATGTTTAAATTGTAAACGCATGCACACCCAGACACACATACAATTCCCTGTCCCTCATGCCTTCTTTATTTTTCTTCACAGCACTTACCACTATCCGCATATTATATATTTCCTTTATCTCATGAGTGGAGTTATCTTTGAGGGTATGGCACATAGAGGGCACTTAGTAAAAGTGTGTTTAGTGAGTGAATGGGAAGCCATTACAGAGGGATATGTAGAAAGTAATGCAATATAATTTCTCTTTTTAAACAAGAGCTGTAGCTGCTGTGGCAAGAATCGACTTGAAGAAGACTAGCAGAGAAGCAGTGAGACCAGTTGGGAGGCGGCTGCAGTGGTCCAGGTGAGAAGTGATGCTGGTGGAGCCAAGAGCCACGACAGTGCACATGAAAAGACTGCTTTGGACTCAGTAAATATTTTGGACGGTGTAGCAACAAGACAAACTTGTGTTTTGGGGGGTAAGGAAAAGGGAATGATGCTTCCCCTAGCCTGAGTTACTGTGTGAAATGGGGAAAAGTTTACTGAGATGGGCGAAGATGGGGGCAGAGAAGCATTTGTTTCATTGTGGACCCATTAAGTTTGTACTGTTTTTGTAACATCCAAGTGCAGATAGTAGTTGAGCTGTATATGCAAGCCTGTAACTCAGAGAAGCGGTCTGAGTGGGAACAACAAATACGTATTGAAAATCATGTCAAAAGTGGATAATTTTTTAAAAAAACAATTAGCTGGTGGTAGTGGAGGTATGAAATGTCTATAGGGAAGAAACTGAGAAAATGATGTCTGGGGTAGGAACTGGAGAGGTTGTAGGGAAAATGGAGAGAGGGAGGGAGCGGAAGAAAGGTGGGGATGGGCTGTGAATATGATTATGGGAAGGAGGGACAGAAAGTTGGGGCAAATGGGATGGATATGTCGGTCCCATCTATGTGTGGGGACAAGGGCAAGGCCTGCCAGAATACGAGGAGTAAGGGGAGAAAAGAAGAGTGGGAGAATGGAAACACTAGGGAAAGTACAGGACACAAGGGCCAGGGGAAAAGGTGAGAACACAGATTAACTGTAATCACAGCTAGAGACCAGCCCAGCAGCTGGAGGTGGCCACAGGGTCAGGGCAGTTCAGAGGTCACAGGGTGATCCTAGTATGAGATAAGGAAGTGAAGGAATGAGAAGGCAGTTGAGGATGGAATGAGAAGGAAGGTGAGGATGGAATGAGGTCCTCAGAACTTGGCCATGAGGAAACAGGATTCTATTATTAGACATAAACTTGAGCATCAGCTCACAACAGGCAAAAGTCTGCTTTAAGGCAGGAATTTTAAACAAAGATACACAAAATATCCTCTGGACATCTATGAAGTCCCTGCAGTTGCTCAAATGGTTTTCTAAGTATGGCATTCTTCTGTGGAAATAGATATGGATGGCTTCTATCACATTCTCTAATCCTGACATTTAAAAAGAGAGAGAGAAAGAATAGAGTCTGGTGCATAAAGCAAGACAAAAGGTAACATTATATATTAAAAAAAAAGGAATATGTCAATCAGAAGGAGGAGGTGAAAAAGAAAGCATGCAAAGGAGACCAAAAAAGGAGGAGGAGGTGAAGGAGGAGGAGAAGGCAGAGCCCGTCTAAGGGAGAAGGTATCCAACCTGATCTAATCAAGAAGCTGCCCGCTCCGCTAAGTGGAAATGATGAGAAAAGAACCTGATGCTATTAGTCATTTAAATCCTGTAACTGCTCCTCATTCCGACTCACCCACGAAGCATCCTTCTGTTAAGGAGATGAAAGAGAGAAGCCATGGCTGGACCTATGGAAGGCAGCCGTCCACCCGACAGGTAGGTTTCTGTAAATTACATAAGCGGTCCTCTGGTTTTCTACATCTGGTACATCTTGTGAATGTTTTTTTGTTTGTTTGTTTGTTTGAGTAAGCTGCTGGTTTTGCGACTGGAACATCGTGAGGTTTCTGAGCCTGTCATGAAGCTGAGTGAGGGCTTGATGCAGGACCGTGGGGAATTTCATCCCAACATCTTCTTGGGAAACTCTCTTCAAAAGTCAGCCAGTTGTCTTCTCCTGGCAGCCCCTCCAATGCCAGGGGCACGTGTTTGAGAAATGTCCTGCCTTTCCTACTGGAAGCGTCTCCAGAAGGAACTTTTTCAGTGCTCACAAATGTGAGCTGTCTCCTTTATGGGCAGTACGGAGAAGGATGAATGAACAAGTGAAACTAAACCGTGCTCACCCTCCACCTGATGCTCTGTTCCCTGAAACTGCAGGAGCATTTGGGTTTGCCCCAGGACCACATCTGCTGGGAAGAATAAAGAGTCTCCTCTCCGGAGAAGTCAGCGGAAAGAGTTGTGGACTAACAGTACTAATGGCTAATACTTAATGAGCACTTAACTCCTAGCACTACGCACAGTACTTTATTCTAACTTCCACCAACCACAGTCACACAGCAGCAGAGACAAAATTTTAACCCAGGAAATCTGATTTAGGAGCCCTTGGATTAACCAATTCACTGTCCTGCTGCTAGAGGCAGATCTGGAGATCTAGAGAGCAGTTTTATACAGGACCTGTCTGCACAGTGGCTTAGGGTTGCAAGAGGATAAAAGCTAGACCTGCCAGGTGCCTGAGGCCTAGGCCCAGACCTAGGCATCACTCGTGCTGCATTCTGTTGGTCAGAAGAAGTTACCAGGCCAGCCCAGGTTCAAGGGAAGCACCAATAGATTCCGCATCTAGGTGAGAGAAAAGGCAGGAGATTGGGAATATGATTAACCTGCCACATCCATTATATCATATTCCATTTTACAGCCAATTTATGACTTAGGAGGTATCTAACTGGTGAGATTCTGTGGCTGCTTCAGCTATGGGTGGTGTGAAATGCACCATGATAAAACACAGGGTTCAAATCCTCATTTCAGTGCTGACTTGCTAGACGACCCTCGGGCAAATTATTAAACCTTTCTTCCCTTCCTTTCTTCATCTCTAAAATGAGGGGCAGTAACGTCTAGCTTGCCAGGGTAATTCTGAGAATCAGAGAGAATGCAAGGAAAATGCTAGTGCCTGGGAGATGAGATGGCTAAGCGGTCCTGTAACACTGTTGTTACTAGATTTCTTGTCTTTCTTCTTAAGTAAGGTAACAGGACTGGTAATAGAGTGATTTCTTTTCCCTGTCATGGGAACACCTAGCAGACCTCTAGTATTGCCTGCCCCTCCCTGGAAACCTCAGAAATTATGCAGTAGAGTTGGGGCATGGCCTTGTGAATTTGTTCAACGTTTTGGAAAGCACTTTAGTAATCATTAACAAGAGTCATAAAAAGCGTTCATATCCTTTGACCCAATTACTAGATTTCAAGAAAATTATCCTCAGGGAACTGATTCAAAAGAAAAGCAAAATCCATATACATCAAGTTCTTCGTTGCCTTTTCTCTAGAGCAACTAAAAATAAACAGCTTAAATGTCCAACAGTAAGTGAATGGTTAGCTAAATTACGATCAAATGAATATTTGTCAGAATATTATATGACTCCTAAAATGACAATTATTATCACTACATGACAGTATGGGGAAAAAAATTTAATGAATTGCTAAGTGACAAATTCAGAATTCAAAAATTTCTCTACAATAAACAGCTAGAACAAGACAATGAAAAATTTTGGTAGTGTTTGGAAAGTGGTCTTGAAATTGATTTATCTTCTTTAAAAATATTCTTTATTATTTTACATCCAAATCAGAAGAAAAATTTGGGCAAGGCCATATGGGAAAGTGATTTATTTAAAAAAAGAAGGGCATATAATAAGTGCCAGAGAATACATTGCAGAGCTTTTAAACATACAAGTGCTCAAGCTGCTCCCTGGAGATTCTAATTCGGGAGGTCCCAGATAGGGCACAGTCACTGGTATCTTTTCAGAGCTCCACAAATGATTTTGACACGAGACTGAGACTCACTGAGCTGGGCACTCATCATTATCCTTTCAAATGATGTAATATAAACACTCTGTCTGATCAGAAATAGCAATACAAAGGAAACTTACATAGTTAGAACTCTTTTTCCCTAACACAGTTTGTTCCTACGTGTGGGCCTTTTCCATTTCCACGTATTTAGTTGTGCTGTGATAAATCTGTAGCCTCTGTATATAATCCAGAACACAGAAAGAACAGCTTTTGATAAACATGTGTGGTTCTGTACAATGTAAGGAAAAAACATGACATAAGAGCTGATGGCCTGGGTTTAGCAGAAAGAGTAATAGCAGGAAAAAAAAAATCTCATCTCCATATCAGTCAAAAGATATTGACAGGATTTCAAGGACGGTCTCCCACTGTGACCAGCTGTGGCCCTTTCCTGAGGAATAGAAGTAGTGGATAGTCTCATGAAACTGAATATGCATATTTTTCTTTCTTCTTATAATGGTAGCATTAACCCATAGGGAGTTATTGTTAAAGACTGAAGAGCAGGAACAGAAAAAACCAGAGTCTTGTTGTACCCAGCTTAGCATCCACAGAATCTAGTGAGAGACAGTAGATTCTCTGAGAAAATCCTGGAATTGACCGATTTTCACGATAGTTTCCTGAGACCATCATTGCCCAAAGTGAGCTCTCTGTAAAAAGCAGTTAGTTCCTCAGAAGGCTGAAAGGTATTGCTTGAAAAGGGATTCCATGATGAAATAATTTTGGAATGCAGGATTTAACCAAGCTAGAGAGGTTTCTTTGTAGGACTTCTCGGGGGGGTTTTGAATCTCTGAGAAAGAATTATGGTATGAAATACAAAATTTCCTCGATGAAACACACCTTGCAAAACACTTCTATAGACATGTGATTTCCAGTTAAAGCAAAATAAATGTTGATTGTTAAATCAAGGAAAATTAATACAGGATATTTTGACCCTAGATTTACATTAGTAAATGTGCATATTCCACCTAAGGAAAACTAACTTTTACATGAAAATTAAGATACAGAATATCTAAAAAAATTCAAGAGCCTCTCCAGACAAATCCTTAGAACTAATGAAAGGGTTGACTAAAGTTCCCAGACATAAGAAACTTGCGGGGGGAAATAAAAAGCAAACAATTAGAAAATTTAATTTTAAAAATACCGTCCATAATAAGGGCCAAAATCTGTAAGCTGTATAGGAATAAGTCTAATAAAACAGGGTCAAACTTGCCTGGAGGAAAATTAAAACCTTTATTGGAAGACATAAAAGGATTTCTAAACAAATGGAGTAATGAAACCATGTTTGTGGTTGGGGAGACTCAATGTGATAAAGATGTAATAGTTCTCCATCTTTCACTTCCCTCGCTTCCTAATTAAGACATACTTCTCATCCTTTCATTCTCTTGTTTCTTGCAATGTCCAAAAGCAAAGGTGGTAGCAGCTCTTTCATTATCAGAATGTCTTCTGCCTGTCTCAGCAAACTTCTAGTGAGGCACGTTTTAGACCTCCATCTACAGATGACCAGTGGTATCCTGGTGGTTGTTCTTAAGGTTTCCAGTATAATACACAAGGTCTTAAAGCATATTCAGGTAATATGAAATTCTATGAAGGGCCTATGCAATTTGTTTGTGATTTCTGACCACTAGATATATCTCTCTCTTGTTGGTTTTTGGAGTTTTTTTGTTTTTCTTTTTGTTTTTTAATGGAGGTACTGGGGGATTGAACCCAAGACCTCGGGCATGCTAAGTGTGTGCTCTACCACTGAGCTATTACCCTCCCCCTACATAGATATCTCCTTGGATACCTGAGCTAGAAGGGCTTTTCTTGTGTTCAAAACTGCCTAATTTAATTTACTAAGTGGGGTACAGCAGAGGTAAACAAAGGTAGCTTCCTGGCTCACAGCAATACTCCTAGTGGCCACATTTGTGCTACATTCCCCCTGATAACAGACTCAACCCCAAGTCACAGAAATGGGCAAGCAATCCCACCTGGGGCAATTATAACACCTCATTCCTCTGGCCTACAGCTGGACCAGTGGTGGACACATGACCCAAGCTGGACCAGTCAGTCTTTCCCAGTGGAGGGAGGGATAAAGCTAACAAGAAAAGAGCAGAAGAGATAAGAGACTGATAATTTTTGAACCCCTGGTTCTAGTCACCTCTGCTTTTTCATGGGTTGAGGATATAAGCCAATAAAGGTCCCCTCTTTTGCTTTAATTAGCTCAATATGGCTTTCTGTCTCTTGTAACCAAAGAATCTCCACAACATGTAAGCAGGTGGATGCTTCTATGCATAAATTTCCCAGGCTGCTACTAATGCAGTCAGAGATGATTCAGGGAAGCAGGAACACTACAAGTTCTGGAAAAAGGAATTTATTATAGGAAAGAAACTTAACACCATGGTAGGAGGACCTGGGGAAGTGAAGGACCAGGAGGAAAGTTGGAGATCAGAGAAGAGGTCACCATTTAGTCGATCTGAGAAGCTAAACACATCCAGCATCAGAATGAGATGGCAAAGACAAGGCTCATGGGAGGCCAGTGGGCAGCTGTGCCTCTGGGTAGCAGCTTTGTGAATGTGGATCACAGCCATGCACGTGGCAGTGTTGGGGCCACTGTCAGTCAACAGGATCATCAGCTGGTAAGAAGAGGCAGGTCAGGAGCAGAGGAGAGTATGGACAGGCTGGACCCCACAGGCACGTCTGCATCCATCCCTCTGTAACCGCTTCTGACCACGACAGCCTGCAGAGGGTAGTGACTGCTCCCTCACCTCCACCTTCCACATCTCATGCAGATTCCTTTTTTGGCCAGCTCCTGCCTAGAACCATACAGAGAAGGGGATTTGGGGAAATGTAGATCCCAACTTAGTCACGTTGACACAGTACAAATTATCCTAACCTTTATCCAGATGCTGCACATTGAGAACTTCCTGTAAAGATTCACCAGTGAGGACAGCAATCAGGTGCTACAGCACTTGACTGGGTGCTCAGCCGCAGTCTGACCCTGAGCCTCCGGCTGCTCTCCTCATTGGGCAGTTTTCCCCACACCCTTCCAAGTTCCCAGCTCCACAGCCCTCCTGTCTTATACCTGAGAGCCCTCGATCCTCCTCCCAAATCTGTAGGCTCAGCCTTATCACAATTTTTAGGACCGATTCTAACTTTAGAAAAGGAGGATGAGGTATATTTAGTCTAATACTTGGGGACACAACATAAAATTAAGTTTACCCTGAGATCAGCCATGAGCCTTTTTTTTGGGGGGAGGGGTGGTAATTAAATTTTTTTGCTTAATTGAGGAACTGGGGATTGAACCCAGGACCCTGTGCACTGCTAAGCACGCCCCCTCCCTACCACTGGCCTATACCGTCCCCCTTGAGATCAGCTTTGACTTCTTGCTCAGCCCTAGTTTCTCTTGGCTGGCTTCTGCCTTGCTCCTAAAGCCAAAAATGCCATTTTGATGATCTACAGAGCATTCCTTCCAGGCCTCTCAGGATGAAGTCCCTGCCTTGCTTTGGCTCTCCCCAAACCCCACCCAGCTCCTACCTCTGAACTCCAGTCAGGAGTGGCGGCTGCTACCTGCAAACATGCTTTCCCAATATGATTCTGCAGGTTGGATTTCCACTTGCAGCAAACCCATGATGTGCTTGAGCGATACTCTTCCAAGCCATTTGGAACCCTGACGTTGTACAAGTAACTCTTGTTCTCCGGAATCAAAGGGTCACCTGCTTGCTGGGTGTAGCCTCACGTCACAGAGTCACCTGCTTTCAAAGTTCACTAAAATTTAACTCTCCCTTGTTGACCAGTTTTGGTGCCAAACTCAAACAGCCTCTTCAATTTTTTGTTTTTAAATCGCTATACCACCCTGTTGTTTCTTTGTTTAAACTTCTTTCTCTCTCTTTTTGGTTTTGAGGGGATAAGTAATTAGGTTTGTTTATTGACTGATTTTTAATGGAGGTACTGGGGATTGAACATAGGACCTTGCACTCTACCACTGAGCTGTACCCTCCCCCTTTAATTTCTTTTATCGCCTGTTTAATCCCTTCCAGCCCAGCACATCGGAGTTCAATATTCAGTTACATTTCATTTTCTGACTGAATTTCTCTTCAGTTTAATGCCAGCATCAGCAAGGGGAGAGGGTATAGCTCAGTGGTAGGGTGCGTGCTTAGCACGCATGAAGCCCTGGGTTCAATCCCCAGTACCTCTGTTAAAAAATAAATTAATCAGTGAACCTAATCGCCCCCCCAACAAAATTTTTTTTAAAGAGAGAGAATTCTAATAACCAACATTAGCAGCTGACTTTCTCTTCCAAAAAAAAAAAAAAATAATAATAATAATAATAATAATAACAGTTGTGGTTATTGTTACTTTTTAATTACCTAAGGAAATTTCCATGTGCCCAGCCATGAGCGGAGAATCACACAGTCGTGGTAAGGTGGAGTGCCAGTCAGTCACTCAGTTCGTTCCCACGTGCTCAGGTGTTTAAGGTGCTTGTCCTGGCCATGGCTGCATGTCATGGATCTTTGGGGTCACCCAAAAGTATTTTAAGTGGCATCCAAGAATGCCAAAGATGTTAATTTATTACCGGCTCTGTTGCTACCCTCTCTCTGCCCTTGTCATATCAGATGGCCCTCATGCCTCCTATTTTACTAAACAACTGCTTATCGCTGATTGCCCTGCTCCCCAGATTCCATGTTCTGCCTGCCAAACTGGAGAGCCTCCCAGCACCTGCACCTGTGGGCTACAGGTGTGTCAAGTGTCAGGTTCCCCACCCCTTCCTGTGTACCGTGTTTCTTCAATGCCCTGGACCAGTTTGGTTAGGATGACTGCCATTACCAGTAACACATTGAACACTGGGTGTACTGACTCATGGAAATAGTTTTAAATACCTCTGCTGGCTCCAGGGGAATATATCAAGAGAAAACAAAGGCACCTGTAAGGTATCTGAGATCATTAAATCACCTCTTACAGGCCACCTGAACGCTAACAAGTTGAGCAAGATCATCACTGACCACTTTACGGCCATCAAGTTAGGCGCTAGTTCAAATGTATGATCTAATGGCGCTTTTATGCACTTACAGCTCACTGGGCGCCTTGTGTAATCATTGTAGAGCTATATTTAAGTCTGTTTTATAGAAGCTGAAGCAGCTCACTAGGTGATTATGGGTTTTATGATCTTTTCTCTTAGGGTGTATTTTTGACCCTATTTCTAGCTTATTTAGTGCTGAGTTCCTTAGATGGGAGCCCATTGTCCCATTTTAATAGTATTCCTATGAGAAAATGAAATACAGATTTGTTTTTTCATTCAATGAATATTTTCATTTTTAAATGATCCACTCTGTCAATGAGAAGTCTACCTCTGATTTGTGCTGTGTGTGTGTGTGTGTGTGTGTGTGTGTGTGTGTGGCCGATAGTGAGGGAGGAGCCAGCGTGGGCTGGATAAGAGGCTTGGAGAAAAATCTTTGTTCCAGGACTGATAACTGTGACAAGTTTCCTAGATGGCAGAGAGTAGGAAGCCTGCTGGTTGGGATGACCCTAAGCTAAGTTCTCCCAAAGATTCAATACCTTCAGCTTCCCCTAGGTTTCCTTGCACGGAACTTCAGCTCATTCTTGCTCTTTCTCTGGACAAAATGGAGCCATTCCTTCTTTTGCTGACCCTACTTTGGCTAGAGGCCCCAGCCTCTTTTCCCTGAAGCCTCAGCTTCTCCTGGGCACCTGTGGTAGGCCAAATAATACCTCCCAGGGATGTCCATGTCTTAATCCCCAGAATATGTGAATAAGCTACCTTGCGTGGTCCAGGGGACTTGGCAGATGTCAGTAAGTGAAGGATCTTGAGGGGGGAGATTATCTTGGATTATCTATGCGGGCCCAGCGTAATCACAAGGGTCCCTTGAGAGAAGGATGCAAAAGGATTAGGGCCAGAAAAGGAGATGTGACGATGAAAGCAGAGGTTGGAGTGATGTGGAGCCACGGGCCAACGAATTCAGGCAGCCTCTAGAAACTGGAGAAGGCAAGGTAACAGTGTCCCCAGAAAGAAGGCAACCTGACCCATGTCTTAGCCCAGTAAGACCCATTTTGGACTTCTGATCTCCAGAACTGTAAGAGAATAAATTTGTGTTGGCTTATGCCAACACTAAATTTGGGGTGACTTGTTACATCAGCAAAAGGAAACTGATACAGTGCCCCAGCCAACGCTGAGTAGAAGGCAGAGCTGTGCTGCCCGATATGGTAGCCATAGCCATGTGGAGCTAGTGAGCAGGTGGAATGCAGCTAGGCTGAATTGGGATGTGCTGCAAGTATGAAGTACACACAAGATTTTAAGAACTTCATTACTATTTTGGATACACTGGGTTAAATAAAATATATTGTTAGAGTTACTATCACCTAATTATTTTCACTTGTTTATATGTAGCCACTAGAAAAATTAAAGTTACACATGCAACTGGCATTATATTTCTATTGATCAGTGTTGTTCTTCAGGTTTGGATGAATCTCACTGCTGCAGTTTCTGACATAATTACTGTGAAACCTGTGTGGACTGGTCCAGGCCTTCTGCCTCCAGCCCAGATGCTTCTGGTCCCTGGGGAGTAGTCCAGGATGCTGCCAGAAGGAGGACCAGCCCTGAGCTTCCCTGAGCCTCCCTGGCTTGAGTCTGGGTATCCTGCCTGAAGTTTCACAAACTTGAGTTTTATGGCCTGGGGGTGACCTATAACAAAAAGAACACAAAATTAGGTGTGGTCTCTGAGCATCTGTGCACGTGAAGGACCTTGAAGCTTAAGCTTCATTAGCCTTGATAGTAACCTGCCTCTGCTGCCTTTCCCGAATCTCATCTGATGTGGCTCCTTTCTCCTCATTTCTAATCTGCCAGGGATCCCACCTTCCACAGAGCTTTCACTGTTCCTAAGACAACATCCAAAGTGGCCGCCACGGCCCTTAACCCAGACAAAAGGGGCCCAGGCCTTGAGCTTTGGAGGCTCCACAAGTCACAAACACAACAGATAGGTGTATTAAGGAACGTAAAAGTGCCCATCACTTGGCATGTGGCATTCAGTGCTCGTCCAGCACCATCCACAAACCTGGAATAACTCTCATGACTCACACTATTCAGATCCCGAGAAATTGCTTCATTATATTTCTGACCCCGTATCTTTGACATAAAAAGGAACTGAGATCAGAGACCATTGAACATTTGTAAGTTGTGCTGCTGCTAACATAGAGCTAGACTCTGCCTCCGAGTGCAAGGAGGAGGAACCACTTTCCAGAAAAAAGAGAAATCAATCAACTTGTTACATCCTTCATCTCAGCTAGTTTGAATGCAACAGATTCTTGTATAACAAGGTATCATTTCTCAGTGGTGCATGGTTCTGATATTTGCAACAGTTGCAGGTGAGAGCTAAGGGACATTTTGTAACATTAAATAATTCTGATTACTCTCACATTTGTATACATGCAGGTTTAGATGTAGCATTCAGGAAACATGAATTGGCAACTAGGTGGACAAGTATCGTGGCAACTGGGTGCACATTGAATGCTAAAAATGATGAATTTTCATTAAAATTTGAGTAAGATGTAAATTTTCCAAAAATTTAGATGTAAATTTCAGCTTTATTGAAATAATTTTGAAAATGAGTATAAGACCATCCTAGAGACAGAAAATACAAAAGTAGAGCTCAGAGAAGAGAAAGGCTGAAGGAAAATGAGACAGAAAGCCGTCTGCTTGAGGGAGGAGGGAATGGGGGGTGGTAGAGTGTGCGCTTAGCATGGCTGAGGTCCTGGGTTCAATCCCCAGTACCTCGGTTGAAATGAATAAATAAATAGACCTAATCACACACACCCCCAAAAAAAAACCTAAAAATTTTTTAAAAAGAAAAAAAAAGGAAGCAGTTTGCTTAAATTTCTACAAACCAGAAACAATGAAAATGAGGAGACTTTAGATGAACATAACCTACAGAAAAAGGCAGACAAGATTTTACAAATTCTTTACTTAATAAAGAGTTTATTACAAATCAGATGAAAATGAGCAACAGCAACAAATCTTCCAAGTCACGTTTTGGAAAGATTAGATGCAGTCCCTGCAGCTTTGTATTCTCCACTAAGTGAAGACTTTATTGATTCAAACAACGGGAGCACCACCACCAGCACCAAAAGAATTATTCATAACAAAATCATAACTCAGGAAGTCAAATGCAATTCTGGCCTGTCCAATAGCATATGAAGAAAATTGCATTTATAAAAGCTGCGATTGAATGTGAAAGCCAAAAACCTCTGGAGCATTTACTGTGCTTATGGGACAGTGATGCTGAAAAATGGCTGTCCCATCCTTCTGACAGTGTAAATATGTTCCTAGCAAAATGCAATCCAATTCAAATTAATGATTGCCATTTTCCATTGCATGAACACAGCAGAATTAAATTTAATGTTTCATTTTACAGCAAAACTATTTTATGGAGGGGAGGTAATTTAGGTTTGTTTGTTTGTTTGTTTAAACAGAGGTACTGGGAATTGAACCCAGGACCTTGTGCATGCTAGGCATGCACTCTATCACCAAGCTATACCCTTCCCCCTACAGCAAAATTATTTTAGATGGGGAAGGAAGTTGTAGCAATTGCTTTTGTATGTTATTATATCCTATGTCCAAAAGCAATATTTTGTTACTACTGTGACAGAGCTTTACAACCAAATCTCCTGATCAGTTTTGGCCAATTAAGGTGTTTGTGTCTGGAAACACTTAGGTTCTTGACAAAATGAAACATCTCTTGTACACAAAAATATATATATATGTATCTACGACAATTTTTTACAAGGGGGAATAAGCAGCAAAACAAAACTAATATTCAGCAGAGACAAATGATGTTCTTATATGATGTATGATGTTCTTATAAAATAGTATGTGTCCAATATTTAATCAGGCATAATGATGCTTTTTGTGGCAGTGGCAGCTCAATCTTTATAGAAAACAATGGAAACTTTCTAGGTTTCATAGAAATTATTTGAAAATGTGATGCAAAAATGTTCTGTGTGTAATATAGGCTAAAAATGCATCAAATGATCACTATATAGTGACAGAATGACCTCAAAAGGAGATTATTAATTTAATGTGTTTTAAAATAAGAAAAGTCATATACAACATATTTAGAAGTAAATTTTACTTAGTTTACTTAGAATATATTACACAGCTTTTTTTCTTTTTAAACATTTTAATTTTCTTTTTTGCAGGGAGGTAATTAGATTGATTGATTGATTGATTGATTGATTGATTGATTTAATGAATGGAGACACTAGGGATTGAACCCAGGACCCTGTGCATGCTAAGCAGATGCTCTACTACTGAACTATAACCTCCCTCCTTTTACTTAGAATATATTACAAAATAGAATCAAAAGTATTACATTTCTTTTTCTTTGTTATTATAAAAGTGATGTATTTCAAAAGTCATAGAAAACAAGTAATGTGTGTCATGTAGATTGATGAACCACCAGAAAGAAAGAAAAAAACAAGGAAATCAAAATTAATATCCACTGCAATGCTAATTACATTCAGTTATCTTTGCTATTTTACTGGCTTTAGGTCATATTAAAAACCACAGCTTTATGGATGTTTGTTGATTTTATTGTGAAAGTTTTTTGTTGTGTTGTGATGGAGTTGTATTTGTTAAGATACAGAGTTAGAACATATTTTACTTAACTGCTATTTTGATTCTAAACTTGTAATTATTTAGACTTATGATACGTGGGTCTATTTGTGCCCTTATCTGGTCCCAACAAATGTTAGGTGTAGGGCCATTTGCCACCCACAAGACCTGGCTTTCTCATGTCATATCACTTGCCACCATATCAATTTGCCAAGGCCCAGCCACACCAGTTCCTAGCTTTTCCCAGCTGATGAAATGACCCTGTTTCTTTGTCCCACCCTCTGGACTCCCAGACAGCCAGTATTTGGAACTGTGAGTTCCAGTCCCATGGAAAGTGAAGACAGATCTCAGTTGATACTAATCTTCCTCACTCAAATCCCAATTACGTAAATACCACCGGTTTATGTGGACTCGCATGACTGTGGAATTAGGGAAGTCATGTGTTGATTATCCAAATCATTGATCTGCTGGATGACTTAGACCCCTGCCTCCCCCCACCCCCTCCACCATCTCTAACCTCTAAGCTGCTTTCCCCGTTCACCAGCCACTCTGTTGTGGGATTCAAGCTCTTTCCAATTGTTGGGGCAGTACATTTGCTGGTCCAAAAAATAAAAAGTAAGTCCATGTGGATGAACACTCTGGGTTCAGTCACCAGTGGTTTAGAGGATGTCCAGTTTTATACCACTGTTCCTTTCTGTTATCCCAGATCCTTAAGAGTGGCTGCAAAGAGAAGATTTTAGTGGCAAGCTGTGCCCACATCCAGATAAGCGACAGACTGCCCCGGGCTCTTTGGTGTCCAGGAAAGCCTCGAGTCTGTGTGGTAGGATTTCCCTGAGAGCAGTGCTCCCGTTCATCAAAGAGACTGAAAAAGCAAACCAACAACAAATAAAATAGAACAAATGAAACCTGCCAGAGTAGATGGTACCTCATCCATTCCACGGCATCTGGTCATGCAGCTTAGCTAGGTCTTCCAGAAAAATCACTCACTGTTTCTCTTTCCTTTAGAGTGGTATGTTTTTTGTTTGTTTGTTTGTTTGTTTTTTATTCTGTAAGCAGTGGCTATGTATTGTACAAACCAGAGGAATTACAGCTAGGCAAAATAGGACACAGCCAACTGCACATGAGCAAAGGAAAATATAATAAAACAAAAATCACCTGTAGTTCTACCCACACTATCATTACTAAACTCTGATGTATATTCTTCCATGTGTGTGCGTGTTTGTGTGTGTGTATTTTAAGAAAAATGAGATCATGTTGTAAATGCTATTTTGGCAATCTGCCTTCTTAATCTATAGTATTATGAATGGTTTTTCATGGCTTAAAAATTTCTGCATTATTATTATTATTATTATTATTATTATTATTATTATTATTATTATTATTAATTCTTAATAGAGGGTAGCTACTTCTGTGTGCCACATACTATGCTAAGCACTTCCCTTATGTCAATTAATCATTTCTGTGACCCTGAGAGGTAAGTATCATTATCCCCATTTCACAGATTAGGAAATTAAGTCTCAGAGAGACTGAGTAACTTAAAATACACCACAGATTTAGTAAATGGCATAGCAGATTGGAGCTCAGTTCTCTCTGCTGACAGAGCGCAGGTTTTTAACCAATACGGTAAGACTTCTGATAAGCATCATTGACTGTTCTAATAATCTTTTAGTTAGAAACATGAATAGATTGACAAGTGATATATAGCTCAGGTAATTGACAATCAAAAGATACACAGAAACACTTGTAAGTATAGCCAAGCATTTTATCATACACAAGGATGTGAGTGGGTGTCTGTAGACACACACACACACACACACACACACACACATAACAATATAATCCAGGATCAAAAGAAGGAAAAACAGAAGAGAGAGTGCAGTCAGAGGAAGTGGCGTAGAGAGGGTTTTCATTCTTTCCCTGGACGAGCTGTGTACGTCTCTGAGAAGTGGAAAGTACCCTTTAGTTTCCTTTCACCCTTATAACCAGCCACTCCCTGGTCACCTTTGGTAGCTCCCTTTCCAGCTGAGGGTGTTTCTCAAGGAAGACTACACTCCTTTCTTTCATTTTCTCCCTTAGGTTTCTCAGGGCTCCGAATAGCCTGCTGCTTATCATTAAGTGACCTTCAAGTCCACGTCTGGCTCTCCCCTTTATCCAGAGTGAGGCTTCTGCAGCTCCACACACCTGTGACTCCTCTACATACACACCCTAGTCATTTCAAAGCCAAGGTGCAGGGCTCAACTCTCCCCTCCAAACTCCCTTCTCCTTCCTGGTCCCTCCATTTCTGTCAGTGGCATGATTATGCTCCCACCTTCCAGGCTCCAATCTCGGGCTCATCTTTGATTACTCCCCTTCCCCAGCCTTGCTGAGAGAAGCAAGCCCTGGACATTCCTGGGGCCTGAATTCCTGGTACCAGGTGTCAACCCAGGGTCACACATACCAACAGGGTTCCATCTGGGTGTGTCCGGCCCACCACACAAAGGGAAGAGAGAGCCTGAAGAATATATCATCTGTTCTGGCCTGGCTCAGCACCCCTTCTTCTGGTGAAGGAACTGTCTGGCCATCTGGGGGAAACGTGCCACCTACAGGTTCATTTCTTGTTTTTCAAGTGGGGCTGACTCACCTCCCAGCTGCAAGAGGGGCAGACACATGAATCGGGCTAGACTAATCCGAGAGACTGGTTGGGGAGCCCTGTGACACAATCTAGGCCAATGGCAAACATTCCAGGGAGCTTTGTGGAAAACAAGGGGAAGAGACATTCCCTATCAGAGTTGTGGGAAATGTGCATGAACCTGCTGGTGGCTATTTTTATTGTGACTAAGGATACACTCCCTGAGAACGAAGCCCAGACAAAAGGGAGACGGATTGCTGAACACCCCTCTGAGTACCTAGATCCAACTGTGACTGAAGGCAAACTACCCCTAGATTTTGGTGAGTCAGCAAATCCCCTTTTCTGCCTCAGCTAATTCGAATTTGATTTGCCACTTATAACTGAAAGAGACTGGTAGTATTCACGGGGCTCTTCATAAATATTCTGTTTCCCGCTTTCCAGACACAAGATAGGACTGTACTTCCACATTCTCTTTGAAGTTGGGGTGGTTGCAGGACCTGCTTTGACCAATTACATGTCAGCAGACATTTTTAAGACCCAGTGCAAGTTCTGGCACGTCCTTCTGTCTGCCCTAGCAACCAGCAATACTCCAGACAGCCTCTCTCCCATCAGCCTGGTTCCCAGAGTGAGGATAACATGAGACAGAGCCCCCAGCTGACCTGCAGTGGACATGTAGCAAGAACAAGACCTTTATTTTTTTCAAGCTGCTGAGATTTGGGGGTTTTTTGTTACTGCAGCGTAACCTAGGCCATCCTGACCAACCGTAACACTGACTAGTCTGTAGAGGAAAGGGACTGTTGCTTTGTTCATCTGTGAATCATTGAATCATTTAAGAATCCTCAGTGTGTATAATAATGTGAATGTACTTAATGCCACTGAACTGTACGCTTAGAAATGCTTAAATAAGTGGTCAATTTGATGCTATCTTAATTTTATCACAATAAAAAAAATCAGCAGTCTATCAAGGCAGTTAGGGCCCTAGGGAGTCATTCCATGTAAATGGCTCTGATGGCCAAAAAAAGTTTTTCCTGCATCCCCTCATCAGACCTTTATTAAGCACCTACTGTGTGACTATCCCCATGCTAGGCACTGGGGGGACCACACTTCTGATCTTGGAAAGCCTTCTTCCAGCAAGAGAGCCCTCATCACAGCTGTTCACCATCCTTGCCCCGCCCCACCCCCCTTTCAGGTTCTGGCATTATGAGGAAACCCATCTATAGCCCCCATCGAGCCGTAATGGCTGAAAGGCATTGTAGCCATTTAAAGAATGCTCTCTTTTTCTAATCTCTTTGCCCTCCTCCTCACTAGTGCAGTGTTTAAGAGGATGGGTTGGAGGGGTCCAGCCGACTAGACTCAGATCCCAGCTCTACCAAGTGATAGTTTGGTGACCTGTACCTCCACCTCTTCATCTATAAAATGGAGATACAAATAGTACCTACCTCGTGGTGGTTGTGAAGATTAGATGGGATAACTTCACATAATCACGTCGCCCAGTGCCTGTTCAGAGGAAGTGCTGAAGAAATGTTAGTTATCCCTGGCAGCTGTTCTAAGCTCCCGGTTCACCCTGTGATGCTCACATATCCTGCCCACTAGTGGAAGTTATGGTCTAGGATTCTGTATCCCAGACTTCTCCAGGTACTGATAATTAGAGTTTGGCTCACATTTCTTGCCTCTCTCTGCAGGGGACCACTGCTGGTCCACAGCCACTTGGGAGCACCCTCGAGTTAGGCACGACCTGTGCTTGCTCCCGACAGGTGGCTCAGTTCCCAGCCGGCAGGATTCAGTCAGAACCTTTCGCTTTCTCCTTTGCTCAGAGCCAGGAACTGGGTTATGTGCTCCCACACACTTGAAAAAAAGCTGGTTCCCAGAAGCTAAGCCACCCCTGCCGAGCAAAGGCTTCTAACAGCACAGCATCCTAACATCCACAGGGGCAGTTCCCAGCCTCAGCAGCAGGGCTCGTAAGTGTAGCTGGATTAATGTTTCAAAGTCCTCCTCACTCTCATGAAATCACAGGAAGGCCTCCCTGCGCGCCCCACCCTTTCCCCCTTTGTGAACAGGAGTCAGCTTTCCAAAACAGAAAACAGTGGCGCAAATGCAGGACAGTTACAGGCAAAATATTGCTGGGATAAACACAGAGGGACTGAAGGGCATATCTGCATTACTTGCTGAGTAATATAATTGTATATTTTTGTCTGTCTTCTGAATTCTTTTTTTTTAGAATTTCCATTTTTCTCATTTAACGTGCAGTGAGGACTTGGAGTCACTGAGAGGAAATCTACATGTAAAATCCTTCTAAACGGTAGTAATTTTCTTCCATTCATCCATAGTTATCTCAACCAAATCTAATTCCAGTGATTTTTTTTTAGCAATTCTCCCTTATCGAAAAATTCCAAAACATCTAATTTGGATTTTCTCTTCTGTTTTCCTTATCTTTAAAAAAAATTAGCAGACTTTTTTTAGAGCAGTTTTAAGTTTATGGAAAAACTGGGCAGAAGGTACAGAGAGTTTCCATATGCCCCCTCCCCAAGTATACACTTTCCCCTATCATTAACATCTTGTGTTAGCATGTTACATCTTTTAAAATTAATCAATCAATATTGATGCGTTATTTTTAACTAAGGGCCCTAGTTTATATTAAGCCTCACTCTTTGTGTCATACAGTTCTATGAGTTTTGACAAATGCATAACGTCATGCACAGTGTCAGAATAGTTTCACTGCCCTAAAAATTCCCTGTGTTCCACTTACTCATTCCCTGCCTCCCCCCAACCCCTGGCAACCACTGTTCTTTTTAATGTCACTGTAGTTTTGCCTTTCCCAGAAAGTCCTATATTTAGAATCATACCGTATGTAGTCTTTTCAGACTGTCTGCTCTCATTTAGTAATATGCATTTAAGGTTCCTGCATGGGTTTTCTGGCTTGGTGTCTCCCTTCTGTCCTTCCTTCCTTCCTTCCTTTCCAGCTTTATTGAGATATAAATTAATATAACACTGTGTACCTTTAATGTGTACAAGGTGTTGACTTGATATACTTATAAATTGCAAAAAATGATTATTACCAGAATATATTAGCTACCACCTCCAACCCATCACATAGTTACCATTTCTTTTTGTGTGTGTGTAGTGAGGACATTTAAGAGCTACTCTCTTAGCAAGATACAAGTAAATGAGACAGTATTATTAGCCACAATCGCCATATTGGACTTCAGATCCCCTAATTTGTTAGTCTTACAACTGAAAGTTTGGACTCTGACCAATATTTCCTTCATTTCCACCCCCCACCCCCACCCCAGTGGCTCAATTCTTTTTATCATTGAATAATATTACATTGGATGTACTACAATTCGCTTAATCCATTCACCTACAGAGGTATATCTTGGTCGGTTCCAAGTTTTGGCAGTTGTGAATATGTTTACTGCTATAAACACTCATTTGCGGGTTTGTGTGTAGACAAGTTTCCAACTCATTTGGATTAATACTAAGAAATGTGACTGCTGGATCATATGCTAAGACTATGTTTAGCTTTTAAGAAACTGCCAGACTGCCTTCCAAAGTGGCTGTAGTCATTTTGCATTCCTACTCTTCTGGATTCTCCCTTTTTCCCCCCCATTAATGTGCAGTGAGAATTTAGTCATTTAGAGGAAATCTGAACATAGAATCCGTCCAGGTAATAATTATCTTCCAGTTATTCAGTTATCTGAATCACATCTAATTCTATTTTTTTTAAGCTGCTCTCTCTTATTGAGAAATCCCAAAACATCTAATTTGGAAGTTTCTTCTTTTTTTTCTCCTTTATCTTTTGGAATTCTTCTCATTATTGAGAATTCTGAATGCAGGCAGTTCAAAGAGCAGACGGTCAGTGCAGTGAACCCTGCATGTAAGCATCACCACCCCCAACCAGGACCCACAGCCAACCCTGTCTCGTCCACACCCTGTCACTTCCCTTCCATATTTTAGTTTTTCGACTAGTACTTTTATTGAGGTATGCCTTATTGAAGTTACACATTTATTAAGGTAATATTTATATGCAATAAACTGCATCCATGTTAGTGTACACTTTGATGAGATTTAACAGATATATACATCCTTGAAACCATTGCTGTACTGAAAATACAAAACATTCCCATCATTCCCTGAATTTTCTTGTGCCTGTTTGCGGTCCTTCCCTCCCTCTGCTGCCATTCCCAACAATTTTTTCCAACAATCTATGTTCCCTCCTCATATTATTTTGAATCAAATGTCAGATAGCTTATTGTTTTATCTATAAATAGTTTAGTATACATCTCTAAGAGATAAGACCTCCTTTAAAAAACCCAGGTCATTATTACACGATATGATTAATGGCAATTCCTTAATATTATCAGATATCCAGTGCAGAGCAGGTATGCAACCCGCACACTAGGTGGAAGCCCCCATGGGCCAGAGATTGGAGCAATAGAGATTGTGAGCAGATCAAGCAAGCAGTAGCCGCTGCTGCCTGCACAGAGCCCAGGGGCATTTTGCCAGCATCCAGCTGTCCCTCCCTCTTCCAGATGCAGGTACCCTCTCCCCCAGGGTTGCCAAATAAATATACAAATAAAAATACAGGATGCTTAGTTGAATAGTTGGATTTGAATTTCAGATCAGCAATGAATAATTTTTTTTAGTGTAAGTATGTCCCATGCAATACTTGGAGCATACTTACACTAAAAAGGTATTCATTGTTGATGTGAAATTCAAATATAACAGGCGCCTGACACTTCCTACCTTCCCTGCAATGGATAATGGAAGGATGTTCTTCTGGGCCCTACAGCACACCTCTGTCCTCTGTGTGACCTTGCCTCAGGTCCTGCCCCCTCCCAAGTCGAGATGTAGAAAGCTGTCATAAACCCAGGGCATCTAAAGGGCTGGTAACTCAGAGAGCAAAGGTCTGTCTGACCAAGGTGGGACTGGGCAGAAGGAGGTCAAAATCCCCCAAAGAGATAGGACATCCCCCAGTCTCTCACCCCCAACCCCCACTTCCTCCTGGTGGACAGACCCTGGCTTCCGAATCCCTCTCCGGTATTTCCAGCTGGCCTGTCTTCATAGCCTTAAACAGAACCCAACCTCTGCTTTTCCAACAGGTTCTGAAAGGGAATAAATTAAAGCCTAATTAATCTGAGGTACCCTGGGAGTGAGCTTTCCCTGACACGTTTATACACAGTCGCTCTCTGCTTTGTAAAGATCTAAGGGGCCCCTGTTACAATAGGAATCAGGTTTCAGTCTTCAGTAACCCTTTCAG